AATTTTGTTGGGACTAGACTTAGCGGTGTTAGACGTTGATGAGTTTCTGTAGGGCAAAATTTTGAAGTAGGTGAAGTACTGGTCTTCATTACATCTTTCATTAGCAGCTAGGGCAGTGATAGTCAGCTAAGTGCTACTATCTACATTGTGGTACTTTTTGAGTATTTGGGGAGGCTCTAAGAAGATTTTACAAGCCATTTGCGTTGCACTCAATTACTTCTATGGAAGGTTACAAAAGTGCGCGCCAGATTGTGTGTAAGGTGGAACAATTGCTGCCCAACCAAGGAAGTCGGGGGATTAGACATTGTTGATCTAGATGAGGCCATCATCGTCCTTATGGGAAAATGGATTATGAAGGCAATGGAGCCGGACAACTCTTCCTTTCAGGTGTTCCTTCACAACCATTTGATATAGGTCTGGCCACTTGGGAATCAAGCTTGGCAACCGAGCTTTCATTAGACGCTATTGGCCAAGTATTCTACAGCTACTAGTTGACAATGTGCAACCGCCTCCCGCAGACATGGAGGTACTTGAGCCCGTAGGTGGATGCAATTCCCCCGCGGAACTTCAAAGAGGTTGGTAACACCAACCTGTGATGGACGACACATTTTCTTGAAGATGCGTTTGGATTCACGAAGGCGCGTGCGTGTCAACTATTAGTAGCCGACCTCCAATTTTTGAGTAATTTGTGCCAGCCGAACACCTCGACCCCCAAATCATGGGAATGGCTCCAACGAGATTTTGGATTGCATGATGATGAACGTAGGAAGATTAAACTCTACCATAATCGTAAACTTGCAACGTGGCACTAGCTGCTCACGATCAACCCATAGCAGTCAAAGGAGAGGAAGTGGGTGGAAATTTTTCTCGGATGGCATTCATCTACATCTGACCGCTATCTTTCAAGCTACCAATGACTTTCAACCGTTATTGTCATTATCAGCGACTGATATTCTCATCCCAGCCTCAATCTCAGTATTCCAGGTGGGCATGCACTCCCAAGTCCTTATTGCTCAACCCGAGCACGGTAACGAGGATCAACCACTACATGGGTTAATGCGTAGAGTTTGAGTCATTGCGCTTCCTCCAAGGCAGCTTACCAAGACTGTTCTCATCCTCAGCTATCTTGCACAGATTGACCGACTCACCTTCGACCTTGGAAGATGGAAATGGCGCTCGGGAGAAGGTTTTTTCAGCTACACCACCAAACAAAGTAAAGACTTGCGGAACTTGAGTCTCTCCTTGAGTCTGCCAATTGCAGTGAAGTGGTCGGACCATGTACACCAGAGGTTCGTCCCGAATTGAAGAGAGATCCGGAGAAACGACCGTCCACACAAGAAAGCATGATTTCTATGGAGCATGCTCCACAAAGCCATCGCTCTAAACGAATGACGTCATTAGAGTCATAATCCAACATCGGCTCAATGCGTATGTTGCTCGGCAGGTGTTTCAGAATCTCTCAAACACTACTTCTATGCGTGTGAAGCTGACTCACTGCACGAGACTTTGCGTTATCAATGTTGTACCATGCCTCAAGGTCATCTACATGGATACTGCCGTGGGCCAGACTGATGTGGGCTCTATAAGACCGGATGTTGTATGTGTGAACTATAATTAGAAGTAGCCAAGGAGTTAATCATGGTTAGCTTAGTAATAACTAAGTCTAGCTCGTTATAACTATCTTTATCAAGTTATAACTATGTTTAGCTATAATGTCTATACTTGGCAAAATAACTAGAGAAGTTCTAAAAGATTCGAGTGAGCATTTCTATTTTGTATTGTACAAAAGTCTAGATTCCAAGAGAAAATACTTTTGACTTCATGTTTAGTTTTGATTGATTTAACTAAGTAATGAAGACTTCATTGGTCAGACTAAGTTTAATGTTGACTTAATGACAAGTGTAGGTTCTAGAAGTTGGAAAGTCATCAATGGCATGTTGGCACATCAATTTAGAAATTATTAAACATCTAGAAGTTTTACAAGTCCAATGACATGTTGTCATATATTGGAAATTAGTCAAACTTACTATGGTTTATCTTTGTAAAAGTAGGTAAGATAAGAATTACCATTTGTTACCATGGTAAAATTTTGAATAGATTATATAGAGAGATAAGAATGAGATTCTCAAACAAGTTTGGAGAGTTCATGTGTAGAAATTTGCTTCATTTATGAAAGAATGATTAGTTTCATTATCTTAGAGTGTCGATGTGTGTGTGAATAAGAGTGATACATTGAGAGATTGTGTGAGATGGTGTTTGGGTTATGAGTATAAGGAGTGATCTTAATCTTCTAGAACCATGATGAGCTACTTCAAAGCCATCTTAGGTAAACCTGAGTGAAAGTCATCATGGAGGTTGCAGCTCAGTGCTTGCTTGGGCAACCCCTCCTGAATCATCTTTGGCATGTGGTGGATCTATTGGCTCTGATAAGAGGTGTAGTAATTAGGTTTGTTTGGATGCCCATGTGTTCTCTAATGATGGGTGGACCTAGATCTGTGTGAACGACATCATGTGGGATAACATTCTCGACATTCCAAGAATGTCTTGGCAGCAAGCTCATCAACCACCACCTTTGAGACCGAGCTCAAGAACGTCAAGGAGTAGTTCGACAATCAAGGTAGGTACTTTCGTTCGCAAGAGTATGGAGGATTACAGAGGTGTTTTGTGTGAAAGCTGATGGTAAAATCACGTGGCAGCATCGACCACCCGCGCACGGAAGATTCCAATAATGGGACTCAACCGCGTCATAGAAACAGGGGTAGCATTCGATGATTAGGTTAAGGTACTATAACATGTAAAAATTTAAAAAGTGCTACTCGCCGGCACATACAAGCAAGCCAGGTTTTGCAACCGTGTAACTCTAATTCTGCAATGGAAACTCACCATTTGACTAAAAATAAAATAAAATAAAAACCAACTCCATTTGTAACTTGTATTGTGAAATATAATAAATATCTCCTAGAATATATTAATCCTACGGGATAGAAAATCTGGAGAATATTTCTAAATACTATGCTATCATAACTTGACTTTTTATCCAAGGTGCATCATTTTTGCTTGAAGAACTAAATTTGAGTGGAGATAGTCGTTATGAGCACGAAATGCATATATCCGGGTTTCTCCTGAGTGTCACAATTTTAGCCTAAATGCATGTGGGAAACAAAATGTTTGTGGCGTATTCCTATTTCTGAAATTATTTTTTCAAATTTTAATTTTTGGTCTCCATACCTAGACTTTCTGTACTGTAATATCTGGCGAGGTTAATGTTCACACGAAAAGGTGAATTCCCTTCCAATTCCCTGTTGGATTTAGGTGAAAACACGAACATACCTCGAGACAAAAACCAGATCCAGTGCGAACTATTCCAATATTTGGCGAGTCGAATCCCTCGCGACACGGAGGGAGCTCTCATACCTTTCAACCAGATGCGTCATTGACCGACGACGAGCCCCATGGATGCCATTGGAGGACCGAATTTCAGAGTGACCTCAGGCTGCGAGTGACGAATCTGATTTCGAAAATGTTCCTGACCTCAGACTGACGACTCAGCGTCGCATCCATACCGCTCGAGATTCCACTGACCCCATCAACTGCATGCGTTCATGAAAACCTCGCTTTGTCTCCCTTCATTATCAGTCCCACAAGCTTTCTAGCTCCATTCCATTTTCTACCAATAAATTGGTGATGATTGTAATGTGTTTTTCATGCTGTATATGAATGATGTAAGTAATATCATGTATATTGATAAATTTGATCTATATCATTTTCAGAGTTGAGTAAGTAGAATATTTAATCTCTTTACGCATCAGAAGTACTCTTAATATATGAATAGGGGAAAAAATAATATTTATGGTTTGTTATTTTAACAAGGCGTATGCACTCAGGGAAAATATTACATCGAATGGTGCGAGTCGCACCGTGCGACAGAAGGTGGAGCAAAGATATGGAAATTTGCGAATAAATTTGGGAGATAAAGTCGGCTTATGTGGGTCCCAGAGGAAATATATGTTGTCCGGCCAACAAGAGCCAAAATTGTGTACTGCCTGTATGTGGAAGATTAGGCGGCATCCGTCCGTCCGTTTGGCTTCTCCTTACCGAACTGTACAGTTAAACGGAATCTACCCGTTCGAGATTCTGACGCAGCGCTACAGGGCAGGGCAGTAGCAGAGAAGGTGTTCCGTCGATTCGGGTCACGACCGTCGAAGCCCTCGTCGCGGTCGTGGCAGTCGGGACCGCTCGCGATTCCCGAGTCGTCCCGACAGCCACCGCTGGCACGTCCTTCGCGTCCGTGCCGGTCGCTCTCCCTCCGATCCCGCCGAGACAAGACCTCACGCTGAAGTCATCTTGGACGCGCCACGTCAGGCAGCACAGACGGCATCCTTATCGAGACGTCTGCAGTCCCCGCGACGGAGCGCGGCAAGGGAGCGGTCCGTCCCACGACTCGATGGTCACTGTTTTCAAATATAGTACGATCATATTTAATAAATTAAATAAATACCCGACCGCTCGAGAATCGAAACCCGGCTTACTGGTTTACTTAATTCTCGTCCCCTTCATTTTAATTTTAATCTTCCGCCGGGGTTTACCTTTTTGGATGCTTGACAGTAATTTCTGATTTCCACGTGGCGCGGTGGCTCGTTCATTAACGCGGTCAAATCTGGTCAAATGCGTCGATGAGTGATTAACAATGAATGTCTACACCTGTCGCTACATCGTCAGGGACGGAATCGCGACGCGACGGCTAAGATCGCGCGATGGAAGGCGGCGGGCGAGAGTCCGCGGGGCCACGACTTGGATGGATGGAGGGAGGGAGGGGCAGCAGCAGCCCCAACCGCTCTCTTTCCGGTCGGCTCCGCTGCTGGACCTGAGCTGAGCTGCTGAGAGCTGAACTTGGGCTTGGGCTTGAGCTTGAGCTGAGCTCCGCTGCGTTTCGCTTCCCTTCTCTTCTCTTCTCTTCGTTTCGCTTCTGGAGCGTCGTTTCCGGCTCATTCCTTCCTCGAGCGTTTGCTGCTGCGAGCGAGAGAGCGAGCGCTGACGACGACGACGGACGCTCTGGGCTCGAGCTATTTTCTTTTTCGGCCGAAGACGATCGGTTGCCGATTCTTGACAGCGACGGGCGGGCGAGTACCGACGACAGCGGCGAAACTGGGCTCCCGATTGCTGAGCAGGCAGGAAGGGCACGCATCGCATCCGTCGTGCGTCGGAGGCCGCGGGGAGTCGTCTGCCGATCAAGACCGGAGGAGATCGCGCTCCGGCGTTGAGGTTTGGGGTCGGTGCGGGGGATTCTGTTGCGAATTGAGGGTGTGGGGCGGGAGGATTGTGGTGCTTGGCGATTTTGTGCGTTTAGGTGTTGGCAGGGATTTGGGCGAGATCTTTAAATTTTGTGGTGCGGGGAGAGGAGGGAGGAGGATTTCGGCGTCGATGATGACGGGAATAATTGCGTAGTTTGAGCAGGAGGTCGTCGGAGGGAGCAGATTTGGCTCCCCTGCCGGAAGATTCTTTCGTGTCTCTCCATTCGGGGAGGATTAGAAATGGAGGTCGAGATAAAGCAAGCTGAGCTTGTGGAGCAGTTTGTTGTTTTGGCAAGAAGCGCCAGAGGAAGGGCAGCTGCGGAGCTTATCACGCATGCCACCTCGCACCCGTCCCTGTTTGCATTTTCGGAGCTTCTCTCACTGCCCCATATTCTTGAGGTGAGCTTTCCCTGTGCTGTCGGCACTGATCCTGCATACCTCTGTTAAACCCTAGAATGTAGAGAGTCGAAAATTACGAACTTTCCAATCCAGGATAGGAGGCCGCAGGAAAGGCCTGCGTTTGAAAGATTGGCATTGAGCGGGATTAATACCTTACTGAGATGGTCTGTCAGGGATCGGGAGCAGGTATGGCTGTAAGATTCGAGTTCGTATTTTGCTTCTCGAACAGCGGTTGGTCATTGAGCAACACTAACACAGTTAAAGCAATATTCTCGTAGATAATAGTTGAGCTTTCGTAATGATGAGTTGGTGATGTCTGAATTACGTTGGAGACGAGCGTCTTCACCGGCAGCAGTATGCTGGTCTTAAATTGTAGCAAACGGCACTGTGATCGTGTTCATACTCCACTTCGAGTTCTGGAGAATGACAGTGCATCGTGCCTCAGTTTATGGTCTTCAACGCTCAGTCTCCTGCACCTTTAGAAATCTTCATGTGTATTATTTGTCAATTATGGTCATGTTGCATCATTCTTTGATCGAGCAGCACGATAGAACCTGGATGTACTTGGGTATGATATCTGAGGCTTTGACGTGTTCCTCCCGTTTTCTCCCGTTTCGTAATTCAAACTCTACGTACGAGGAATAGAGTTGAAAGACATGGCCGCAGACTTGTGCGAGCTTGGCACCGAGTCTTCAGTAGTTTATGCTGTGTCTACCGCGAATATAATATAAAGTGCCTTGTGTTGAATTAGTTCAAGAATTTTTCCTACATCTGTACAAGTGTATTACGTTTAAGTCACGAGAAATCAGTTGCCTTAAACTGGGGGGAAATTTAATCATGCTGGACAATGCGTTTCTTTTTCTTACAAACGTCCCGCTATGCAGCTACAAGGCACAGAACATGCTGGTTCGTTGGAACTTCTTCGCCTCTTCGCTCATGGCACATGGACAGAATACAAAAGTAAGGTTATTTTGCACGAGCCTCGCCTGTTTAAGCTGGAGACGTCGTTTCTCACACGCAACGCTTTTCATGCTTTTTATTTTTCTGCATAAGTATTTTCAAATTGTCGTTGTGTGCCTAATCAAAATCCGGTAGGTCATAATATCAAATGAGCCTTCTTACAAGATTGTGTTGTTAAGAAGAAGGGCATGTTTGTATTACACAAGTGGTTTTGAATGAACCCACATGACACACGTCGATGAAGAGGTTGTTGAAAGGATAGGACATCACGTGAAGGGCATGTTTGTTTCGCTGTGTCTGTGTCACATGTTTGGTTTTGAATGTACGAACATGGTGTCTCTATGCAGATAATATCCATGAACTTCCACCTCTTCAACCTCAACAGGAGCTTAAGCTTAAGCAGCTAACGGTGATGACCCTAGCTGAAACAGCAAAGGTACGTATCCTTTGCGTCGTATGGTTATTCATTCGAACTGTTCGGATTGCTCCGAGATTCGAGTAGGTTAGCCTTTCTATGACGAAGTTGGAGCTCAGTGTAATGAACATGGAGCTATATAATCTTGAAAATAATTTCGAAATTAGGTTTTGACGGTATTCTGGTCCACGCGAGAAATATCAGAAATTTTTTTCACGGTTTACATCCGAAAAGGGATATTTCAATATTCTGCATCGAGCTCTATTCCGTTATATATAAGCTCGTTACGCGACTTCTAGTTGAACAATGGAGCAAAATATATGTACTGTGTCTCAAACTCCACTCAGGTGATTTTAGTCTAATGCTGTCTATGTCTGTGCTCCAGTCGTTTCCTGTTGATGTAAAGGTTAGGGTTGATTATTATTTTTTCCACAGGTATTGCAATATGATCTGTTAATGCAACAACTGGATGTTTCCAATGTTCGAGAGTTGGAAGACCTTTTGATCAACGACTGCATGTACGCAGTAAGTAAATGGACATGACATGTCTTTCAGTTCTGTGTTATGTTACCTGAAGTGTACGTCAAGCATTACAGATTACTGCAGACATTGCTTGTCAAACTGTAAGAACGCTGGGAAATTATTGGTGGGGGGAGTCGGTGACCTGTACGGTTAAAGATTTGCGGCTTTATGTGAACGTATGGGCTGAAATGATCTGAAAAAAGCTGGATCAACGCTGTGGGACATGTTTACGAGAACCTTGTAAAAGCTTTGTATGCTATGTATCCACTTTAGTCATTACATCATGCCTGTCAAAGCCTAAAATGAATAATTGTACTCTCTTACAGGGGATTGTGCGAGGTAAATTGGATCAACGCAGACGCTGCTTTGAGGCAAGTTCTTCACTTTATACCTGATTTTACGGTGTCTTCTAGGCCTTCCAGATCTGTGTGAGTTTGATCCCTTTGCTCTCTGCCTTTGTATCTCGGAAAAGTCATGCTGGGCATGTATTGTATCACCAGATTTACATGATTGGAAACGAGACTTGGAACCCATCCTTTTCTGGTCTACATTCGTGTATGTAGTCAGTTTTTAGTCAACGCAGATTTTTTATCGAAGGCAGGAATCTTACACCCATGCATGTCCCATCTTGTTTCCAGGTTCAGTTTGCAGCTGGAAGAGATCTGAGACCAGGGCAACTAGAAAACATGATATCCACATTGGCAACCTGGTAAGTTAATCAGCGCCCTCTGGCTCTTGACGTCTCGAACTTTCGAGATATCTGCTGAGAACATAAGTGCTATTTTGGTGTGCTCCCTGGTGGAATTAGCTTGGCGTGTACGCTTTAGTTGAAATCAAGGTATTTTTACCGTATTAGAATATGAAGATAGTTTCAATCTTCGAACCTCGCTGAAAATGTTTACCGTCACCGGGACGTGTCTGTGTCTGGTGGCGATCTGCAGGCTGGGTAATACTGAAAATTTGTTGCTGACCATTCAAGAGAAAATCAAGTGGGCAGACAGCATGAGTGACATAGACAGAAAACACAAGAAGGAGGTGGAAGACAAGGCTGAGGAGTTGCGAAAGTCCATTAAGGTGAGTGGAATTCTGATGCAATGGCCATTCCAGTTTTGATGCATGTTGACAATGTGTGCGCGCGTAATGTCATTGTCCAGAAGCGTGTTGCATGCTGCAAACCGTTTGTGTCAGTTCCTGCTAGGTTCTATCAAGCCGTCTTTTAAGTTGATGAGATTTGCTGAGACTCTCTGAGATCATCGCATAGGCTTTTGAAGGTTTCATCTTAGCTTGCGGTAATGCATTTTCTGAGTCATAAAGTATTTCATAATGAAACCCCGTGACATCAAGTGTCTGAATTTCGATGCATTAAGCAAGCAAGCAAGTCCGAAGTCTTGAGAGCTTTTTTGCGAACTTTTGGCACTGATCAAAGTTCTGGAGATCAAAGTTGGTCGATATATGTTTCTCACTTGGTGGCAGAAGCCTTTGTACACCAACCTGTAAGCAGGCCGAGATGGAATTGCGGGGACAACAAGATGTGGGTTATACAGAAAGTGGGGCTTTGGTCATGGATTATGTTGAAGAAGACCGGAGTCGACCCAAAAGGTACGTAAGCATGATCAGATAAGCGCTTGGGATTGAACTTTTAGTTCCGGACAGGTCTCTCGAACTCCTTTCTCATGACCTCCGTAAAAGCTGGCCTTGGAAACATTTATTCAGTCACCTAAATAAACACCTTGATGCAGGAACCGTGGCTTGCAATTCATTAAAGCTTAAGAAATCAAGCAGAGTCAATTCTCAAGGCCGTAGTCCTCTCAATGAGCCACTGTGGTCTTTCAGCTGAAGTTTTGAAGTCCCACTTGTTCCAAGTTTTTGCGAAGCACGATTGAGATTGAGCCTATTGTAGAAAGGAGAAGACCCGTCACTCTATTTTGAAGTTAGTCCCCGGCCCCAACCAAGAGCCCTAATTCTAAATGCCGCCGTGTCTACTCGCTGCGCCGTTGAAGGAATCTTCATTTGCAGTGGAGAAGGTATGTGCGTGCGTTTACGAATCATTCACCCAAACAACTTTCTGGATTGATATTTAATAAAGCGAAGACTTTCAATCCCTCATCTCGACGTAAGAATGTGAAATATCCCGATCATGCAGTTCTTGCCTGTTCCAGGAGAAGGAGCCTGTTCCAGGAAAAGGAGGCTGTACTGAAACTGTGTCTACGCTTGTGTGTGGATGATGTGTGTGTGCATGCAGAAGGCGGTAGGGAAACAGCACCGGTTGGTCGTTAAGGGTAGATCAGACATCACTCCAATTTTTTGGGGGGCTTAGACGGGATATCTCTCTTTTCCTTTTCCACTTTCTCTTTTTCTCATATGCGGCAAACAAATCTTTGCTGATTGGATTGACCCCCAATGCCTGCTTGTGCGGCGTGATTTAGTAGGAGTGTAGAGACAGACAGACAGACACAGATTAGTCAAGAAGTGGTAGAAATAAGCATATTCTATTCAGTTTGAGAACGTAGAAGAAGAACCAGAACAAGACAAGACTTCGTTGGTGGTGTTTGAGGGAGTCGGTGGTGTTGATCGTTCGTGGCCGATGGATGATAGATGGAGCCCGCCTGCCTTCTCTTGTAGTGAGATTCTGAGGACTACTCATACCCCCGGTGCGGCTAGCCGTCTGTATGGTGTGTTCCGAACGGATGTTGGCATGAGTGGTTGAACAAGGTAACACGAGCTGTGTATGCTACATTGGCTAATGTCAAAGCTCACCATGGTTGAGTTGTACATTGAAATTTTGAACCTCGTGTGCCTGATTTGAACGAGTAATTCATGTGCAATCTATCTTGTAGGTTGCATTCGTGTATTCTGGCAGACCCTTGTGACGAGGCCTGTCAAATCTGTCGTGGCATGGATAAGACTGTCAGGTGTATAGCACACGATTTTCTTGAGGACTGTATCAGAGCACATTGTTCAGATAGTAGATAGTGGTCACGAACTGGACGTAGATTTCGCGTATTTCCACATAAGAGCTGTTCGAAGATTTGTGAAGCTTGGATGAACTCCAGCCAATAGCCAGGTCCAGACCCAAAATGACCTTCTCAAAAGCCTGCCAGGACCGATCTTAGCCTCTGAACCGTGTTAGGAGGCCGCAGGACCTCCAGTGCGGCATACTCCGCAATCAAATCATCCACTTGGCCTGCACGTCATACACACACAACAGTGCACTCTCGTCAACCCTTCAACAAATTGTGCGATTCATGATCGACTGCCTGAAGAAAACCAACCTGTAAAGTTCGGAAGTGTGCAAACGCAGAAGTACGTATAACTCGCTAAGTCGGTACTATTTTATCGTCAGAACCTCGTCAGATTTCCTTACATGCATCCAACACCTGTTCTGTTGATCGTCAGTCGAGTTTGCGGACCCAGGATCTCGACGTTCCAATCTTATAGCTTGGTCCCCGAGTGACCTTTTGCAAAGCTAAGGACATGCCAATGATTTCCGCGAGTGGCGCTAGACTGGATAGGGTATATTTAGTACACATTTTCTCTTAAATTCTCATACAGTAACTTGCTTTTAAAATATAGCCCGTGGAAGTTGAGGTGAACGTACTCGAAAGTCTAAACTAAAAAACACCTCTTTGACGTGCAAAAGTCGAGTAAGACTTTTTACCCAACGTAACTAGCCGAAATCTCCAAATTATACTGTTCATAGTTGTAGACGTCTTTATGTTCAATTGTGAATCTAGGTGCAGTATCTTTTGCTGCTGCATTAACTTGAGTGACCCATAAACGCCGAAGGTTGGCTTTCCATCTACCTCTATAACGATGAGCTTATTATGCTAATGCTCCAATTCCTAGTTAGAACTCAGTTAATCAAGATCCAGTGACAATATGGACGAAGAAATTATATTTGTAACCAAATTTTAGATTGAAATGTAGTCTAGATTTGAATGTTAATTCTGTTACTTGGATTCTTATTGTGTGATAGCTTCTTCCAAGTTTCTAAGGGGAATTTTAGTTCTGGTATCGCGACAATAATTACCATACATTGAACTTGCAAGATTTTTGATTCAGTGATTTTTGTGTTCTCACTCTTGCAAGAACACAGAAATCAATGGAAATCATTTTGGTATAACAACGAAGTAGAGAAGGAAAAACGAAGAAACATTATTCAAACATTTGTCAAACTAAATTTTTTTAATTGATAAAATTATTTTAGAATAAAGGAAAAACAGGTAATAAGACCATTTAACAGATTGTTTCAACTGATTTGATTTAAAACACTACGTAAAATAGCATTCAGATTTTTTTAAAGCTAAAACTTACCAATTTTAACAAATTAATTTATCTACGTAAACAAAAGAGAAAAATGTGCAGGACTTTCTCTGTTGAGATGACAAATATTGCACAGAAACATGCTTGTGGATCGTCTATAACTTGAATGTTCATTTTATAGATACTATCTTCCGCCTTTTCTGTACTCTTCACTCTGTCTTCAGTCATATTCAGAAGGCGAAACCTCAAATTCTCCATCTAAAGCTTTTATACGTCGCCTAGTGAACAAATCTTTGCGAACATATTTTTGCGACCGAGTCGACATTTTCTCTTGTTTCTCATTATTTTAAGAATCTCTTCATATTTTAACAATACTTCCTGCAAATTCCTGTCATCAACTACATTCTTCGCAATAACACGAACAACACATTTGGGCTCCCAAACTATCAGACCATAACAACCATAATTCAAGACCTTTCTACTAAATATAAGTTTACTTCCGTTACGCTCCCAACAACAACTATTAGTGAACCACGGTTTTCCAATGGACCAGTACAGTAGATACTCACTCAAGACGTGCTGGCCGCTCAGATTCGTAAATTAATGAATTTGAATGAATAGGGAGGGGATCACGTACAACAAGAGTCATCAAAGACCCCAATGTCCATGTATTGAGTGTAGTGGTGGACGTAGAATTTCCTCTTGTACAGCTTGCTGAAGCTCTCTCTCATCGTTGCAAACCGGCTCCTGACAAGTTACCAACATACTTCCTCATCAAACGTCACGAAGAACGTACTTCAACCTGGAAAATAATGTCGGCTTCCGATCCACATTTTGCCTTGTCTATCTGCAGCTGGGCCAGCTCCAGCTTTCAAAAGAAGCTTGTCTTACTGACCAACTAATCCAGAAACCGAGTGAAAACTCCTTGGCGTCAATTTGTCATTGCATTCGTACCATGTGAGGTAAAGCTTGTATGGAAACCTAAGATTTCAGTACTCATGTAAGAATTAAGTTGTCTATACCCGATGCATGTGTTGTTGGCGAGACAAAGGAGGGAACATGGCATGTCGCGAGCTGGCTGACTGCACAAACCAATCTTGAAACCTTCCGTATTCCAATGAACCTACAGACAAACGCATCCCACGTGCGAACAACCAGAAGAGAGTTTCAATTTAGGAGAGAAGCTTATGACGCTTGTGAAATCCCCTCTATGAAAGTCTACACACTATGGTTCCTGGACTGCTTAAAATTGCGCAAAGTGAAACGCTAGTACTGTCCATAGGACCTAATTGACCTAGATGAATGGAGAGGGTGAGGGAAGACGGCATCCAAGATAAAAACCATGTGAAGTCTCTGCTTGATACGTGATACATTCTGATTCAAGTCGGAAATGTTGCAGAGGTTGCCTCTCATCAGCAGAGCACATGCAAGGTACGTATAACTTGACGGACTGGCCTTGATAAGTTGATTCTCTCTGGCAAATACCTCAGTGAATATCTGCATTGAGAGGGAATAAAACAATTATTTTTTAAAGCAAAACCTGGACAATCGAGTACTGTCAATAACAATATAGCTTGGCCCAAGTTACTTGCACTTCTTTGCGAATGAAGAGAGTTACCTGATTGACAGAATGTGGTTGCTGACCTAACCTGCCTTCAGACCACAAGTTAGATGATTGAATCCGAGGCAGTGAAATTGCAGATAGTTTCGTCAACGATAATGACTAATTGGCTTTTCTGGTAGAAATATCACACGATGATCTGCGTTTTATTCTAAGGAGAATCAGAATGGATATTACCAGAAAGGAGGGAGCTGGAGTACGGAGCCATGCTCGAAACGAGGAAATGTAGACGAGGAAATGGGACAAGATTTGTTGTTATCTCATTCAAGTCCACTGCAATCCATATGCAAGGAAATTATCGGCCGTTACGTTATGGAAAACTCAGCTTCAGATCAATGAGTTGGACTACAGTCGGAAAGTGTGAAGTGGATGGAGTGAAAAATGCGTAGAATGATACCATTCAAGGTACCCTCGAAACGCATGGAGCTTGTGAGGTGCAAAAGCAAGTTTGCGGCAATGCCATTCATCTCGTCAAAAGGTTTTCCAGGCCTCACTTTAGATCCTCCTCTCGAGGTTGGAAGACGCTGTCCAGCCTCTGCTTTTGCATCCCAAGACTCTTTCTTCCTGGAAAAAATAGAATCACTCCACGATAATTGAGATTCTTCGAATGATCCTATTATTAAGCGAAGCTGGAACATAACAGATTTAGCCTCTCAATCGGTCTGTGATTCTCCTGGTTTATCTTCAGAAGCGAAATTGGCTTTCATTCTTAGCTCTCTCAAACCACGCGGCATTTTCCTCATTCTTTGTGGGGAGCGAAACGATTCAGTTTCAGCTGTTCCATCTGCTTCAGTTTCTTCGCTAGCTTTCATCTTGAGGTGTGTATTTTAATAACCCGTGACCACCAACAAGTTGAAAGTTCCCTCAGCGCATACGTCTCCGATGTTATCTACTTCCGGTCTGGAGAAAGATCTAAAGCAGGAATGTGGAGATTGAGACCCACTGGATGATATCTAGCAGAGCTTGATTCTCCAGCGGCAGGACGCAGTCAGCATGTTCGGCCAACACCGCCATTGACAAAAGGCTGCTAAGTCCAGAAGATGACAGACACAGCGAATTGGTCAAAGCTCAGTAGGGATCATCCAGATGAGTGAACATTCCTGTGACTTAATTGCTCACGTCGTGAACTACAGGTGTCACAGCTTATGAGATAGTTTACCTGTTATACGGGGATGTGATAACATCATCATCCTCAGCGTTAGGAAAGATGGATGTACAGAACCTGTGCACCTTTGGGTACATATCCTGCGGACATGTTGAAGTTGTAAAGCATCCGTTTAGCTCCATGATGTCTAGAAGATTCCTTCCTCTTCTGTCACTGATTTACGCGATAATATTGTGAGAAGACTCTTGTCTTTACATGATTGATACAATGTCTGCAGTCTGTGGAAAGTAATTCATGTTGTTCACGGTTAATAAACCATCTGAGGTTTTACGTTCAGAAGCTCCAAGACGTAGCTGCCGACGCCCGAGCCTGTTCCTCCACCCAGTGAGTGCAGCATGAAAAAGCTTTGGAGCGAATGGCACGATTCAGCCTGCAACATGACGATCATTCGCACGACGGATTGATTGAATGCACGTGCTTCTTCTGGGGACAGACTGACATCTGACTGAGAGATCTTTGCAACATTCAGCAAGCTGTCTACTAGTTTGAAGCCAACTTCCGGGGTATTTACCTCATGGCGTACTTTTTCGAGAATAGCATCAGAATATTTCGGTCCATAAAACTCGTGACCTTGGGCCCTTCGTTGATGCCAGAAAAAAGTATGTCATAAACTGCATGCTATCAGTAGCCTTTCGTGCTAAAGATTCGTAAATTTAACAAGTAAATGTGTGAACCTAGAAGGTAATTAGCTTTTCACAACGAACTGCGAGGATGTATACTGAGACAGACGGAGTGACAGATATGTATGTGGAACAATAATCTCTTACCGCTGAGCACTGGAGAAAGCGAACTCTCAATTCAGTGCGACTAAAACCTCCTGGGAATTCTACATGGACGTGTGAATGCCTTTGAAATAGATGCTTTGAGTTGTTGCGCTTTGTTTGGCTGAAGCCATTGTTTGTTCGGTAATCCTGCTAAAATTCCGTCAATATCTACCTCTCCCCGACTTCATCGGAACTTGAAACATGCAAGCGTCTTTGGTCGGTACCAGTTGTTACCGGAACCTGAGTTGTCTGTGATGTACTGCTTTTCGTCAAACAACTCCGACAGGGGTCCCTGCAACACAAAGTTATGAGGTTGAAAACTGCTTGGGTGCAATTCTGATTAATGGTAATTGCGGAAATTATTACGAGTTTTCCCTTATGCACGGGTGGAGAATGACCTTCAAAAGCTGATTTACAACCCCTTCTTCCATGTCAATCAGCACGGCTCTCGCCTGCACAACAGGATTCACTGTCAAGAGTTCGAATGAAGCACGGGCGCCATGTCATTCGGGCTTAATCCTGCACTATGCCTCAGGTTGTCTGAGGCCTGCACATTTTTGCGTAAACACAGTTTTCTTAGTAGATCGTAGTTTAAAGTTTAAAGTACACGTGATTCAGAAGAAACCATATCAGTGATACGAAGAATTAGCTTCCATAGAAGCTTGCAAAAGGGTGTGGTAACCTTCAAGCATTGAATCGGTACACTGCAATTTCCAGCTTTGATCTCCCTAGGCGGCGTATATCGAGTGTCGACATTACGGAAGAAGCTGTATCACACACGTACTCATTTGATGCTCAGCAGAATAAGCCACTTGTCCCGGTGGACGCAGAAATCACGGTGCCAGGTATCCTCAAATCCAACAAGTTACGTTCACTTTCAAAAGGTCAAAGGATTTTCGGCATTGCGAGAAAGACCAGACGCCGACAACAGCTGGACGAGATGTCAAGATTCTCAGAATCAAAAGACCACAACCCACAACAGACCTGCTCAAAGCATCGTCGAATGCCGGGTAGCGGGTTCCGGAAGCAGCTGCGGCGTGCTCTCGCAACGCACTTTCCCAGAACTTGCAGCCTACCTTCGGTTGGGCAATCGACAAAAAGGTCAGAAAAGATTTTTCCAAGCCTTCAAGATCCACGCATCACAAACTCGTCCAGCGTCACTCGCTCGCTCGATCCCTCGTCGAAGGTAAAATTGGGCACTGCAATTGAGCCTCTCGTGCACCGACGGACGACATGGCCAAGAACATGCGTACCTGATTGCCGCACTGCCCAGCCTGGATCGTGATACACTCTCGAGGCATGACGCCCCGCGACGCCGACAGCGCCGAATTCAAATTGCCTTCTTGCGAAGAATCTCGGTCCGCTGCCCGCTCCGCCCGCGCGTAACGCTCAGCGACCACTGTGAATATGGCGCGGCCGACGGGCGGGATCTTGAACTCTACCTTGTACAATCGAACGAGGATCTATGCCCCGTGCTCTCTCTCTCTCTAGGCAAATAACGTATAGCGCCATATTTTCAGAATACAGAGCATGGTATTACAGATCAAAAACAAGGAAAAAGTAGGTTGTAGAGGGTAATTACTGTCCTCAAGCTCAACAACAAATCGAGCTTGTGATGTGCAGATCTGAAGTTCTGTTCCACTGTAATTTGAGTCCATTTAATTTGCATAATGTGATATACATCCATTCTGGAGGATTTTTGGTATATGAAATTGTAAATCGCTGGTTAGGAAAAATTGACTTGTGTATCAGAATTGCAACAATTATGTACCAACTATTCAATGGGCTGAGCCCTTTGTGGAAATAAAGAAGTGTTGTCAAGTGACCGATGCAACTTTGGATTTCTGAAAACAATTTCTTGTGTAATATTTTGCATATAAATTAATATAATGTGGTTAATACTTAAGATTCATAAATTTTATCCAATATTCATCATAATCAAAATCCTTATTCAAAACTTAACAGATAGATTTAATACTTTGTGATTGATTATTTAAATATTTTTTTACCCAGAATAAATTTTATTTTGATTAAATTTTCATCAAAAAAGTACACAAGGTAAATTAAACTATATATATATATATAAATAAAAAGGAATTCTATGTATTAGATGGTGCAACGAGAAGTATGTTGACTTTTAGCATATTTGGGAGTATAATATGTTCCATGTTTGACGCCTCCTTTAAACAAAATGTCTGTTGGGCAGTAGTAGTGTATTCGTACGATTAAAGATGGATTAAAGATATAACAATGTAAAATTATGGTTACCGGTTACTCATTTTAAACCCAAGAATATCAAATCATATTATGGAGTAGATTGTTGTGTAGTTTAAATGTGATCTAAACTCCAATTGGGATTGATTACTGTAGAGTAATCAATCCCAATCAACTCGTGTCTATGATAATGTATATGCTATGATGTTTGACATGTATTCGCAAGATAGATTGGGTGACTTAAACCACAGGCAGTGGAAGGATCAGGTGAACTAATTTGTTCAGCGAGAATGCATCTTGTGCATAACATTCTAATATTTTTATTAACTTTGTTGAAGCAATTAAGTTTGTAAACACAGAGACTTGACACTCTTTGACTTAATCCTTAACTGAAGCTCTAGCTATCATTGACTCATTGAAAATACTCTTTACCTTACCTCTTATCTTGAAGATCTCTAACTATGACTTCATCCCTATAATCATCTCAATGTGACTTTTTCCATTTGTGCACATTTTTCTCATAGAATAAGACTACGAATGCGACCAATCTGTCAGTTTGCTTGCTCGTGCAATTGAAATTTCTCTCGTGAGTCATTGACTCCACATTAGTCATCATGGCTGTTAGTGGATGAGACTATACCTCTGTAAGGCAGATGATAAACTACATTGTGATAACAAACAAATTAACAAAGGAAAGAACTATCATGGATCATAACTGAAATTTCCTATAATCTCCTCCAGAATTTGTAGATGTGTGAAAGCAGTTACCGGGAATTCTTCCAGAGAACATTTTTTTTTTGAAAATTCGCTTGCGATTTACTGTGTGATGTATGCTTCTTGATACTCACATTTTTTCCAAAATTGGCGAGCCAAGCAAAGTCGTGCAGGTCTGCAGGTGGCAAGATGGATGATGCGGTGAGGTTTGAACTGGTTAACAGTGAGCCTCAAAGGCATGACCTGGGGCGAGGGCAGGGGGCATGCTTTATTCATTTTTCTTTACAAGGAATGCCTGTACGAACAAAATAGATATGTATCTCTAGAGCTTTTCGACAGTTCTTTTTACTAAGAGTGCTTCATTTCCACAGATATATATCTTATGATAAGAGTGCTTTATTTCGACAGTTTCTCTTCTAAGAGTGCTTTATTTTCACATAAATATATTTTCTGATAAGTAAAGTGTACGTATTTGAATACAGGCATGCATTTTGACTCTGAATCATGCTGGTTTTAAGTTCAACTTTACCCCGTGAAGAAGAGGAAGGAAGAACCAGACTTTGGGTATGAAATAGTCAACTGAACTCACGGTTGGCTCGAAGTGCTTTCCAAAAACCAAATATGACTGTCGCGTGACTCTGCATTGGAGGCAATGTCCTGTGCATTGTACTTGTTAGCCAAGGTACCACAGAATACATCAAAAGTGTCCGGCCCAACATCTTCATTGTATTGAATGGAGTGAACTGGCGGAAGTAAGTTAAGTACCAGCCGGCAGTGAGAATTTATGGATCATTGAGAACCAAGAAATATTAGTGCAAAGTACTTTTTTAGAAGACGTTGCACTAAGAACATTCCCATTGATTCCCATTGATTATTGTAGGATAGAAATTGGATTATCAGATTGAATGCAAGATATTTTCCACGTCCATATTTCTGCAGCAAAAGATTATTCTATTATTGCTATAGACCATGTGAATGGAATAATTGTACCAACGGGAAAAAAAAACTTCAGTAAAGTTGTTTTACATGTTCACCATTGGAATTCAGATTGTGCATGGATTCACATTCACAGATCATGTCGTCTTCTGTACGACGCTATAAACAAGCAAGAGAGCTCTTAGCACGATCAAAATTCGTAAACAATTTGATGTTTGTGTTCTAAAGACCTACAAACTGTGCATGCATTCACATACTTGACAAAGGGGTAGAAGAACAATCATACCAGCAGTTGACAACCTCGAAAACTGGTATGCTCTATACACAGTTCTTCGATATCATGTTTAGTAAATTCCCAGAAAGGTTATAAGTTTCTTCTGAACCTACAAGTTATTGACAGTTATGTAGACAACGGTACTGGTCAAAGTAAGAAAACAACTTAACATGCTTATTACACCAAGCTGACTACGCATGTGCCACTCAGCTGGCAGAATACATCCACTTGCTCTAATAGATCAAATATCTCAGATCAATGGATAAATAAAGAAGAAATTTGTAATTTCAGTTGTCTGTCTGACTACATCGAGTATATCATCAAACTGACGCATTCACCCACGATTCCTCTTCGCTTGCACAACAAAGTCAAGCTCTACTCTGACCTTCTAACACCATGTTCCAATCACAGAGTATAAAGGAACACGAGTTTTGTGTTCGAATGTTGTCATTACCTTGATCGCTCGCACGATTCAATGAGAAGATCTGATTGAAGAGGATGCATGCTTTTTCCCCGCGCTAGTCATCGTAGGGTCTGTCTTCCCGTCGTCTTGATGCAGCTAGATTCGGAGTCTTCCAGTACAACTGTACACAAGTCAGGGTTCGTCACATTCTGCTTCCACATCGCACCAATTTTGATACGAACTTGATTTTAGATCCACCTAGCTATCATCTTGTGTCATTCGATCACCAGTGCACATCAAACGACTCTCTCCAAGAGGCTTTCGCGAATGGAAGGTGCAGGTACGTCCATCAGTCAAGCTGCTGAACTTGCGAAACGGGAAATGGACTCCGCAGACGAGGAATCGGAGCTTCCCTCCGCCATCCAGGACCTTGTACAGCGTCTCGGAGGACAAGGCGAACCTATATCGAGACTTCCCGATTTAAACCGGCCACAGTTTCTGGAGTTCTTTCCGATACGTGATTTCTGGACTTCGCTCTCGACGATCACAGGGTGGCGAAGCCAAGTTCGCCTTCGAGTGCTGGAGTCAATCGCCAGCTGCAACACCCTTGAAATTCTCGGCGTGAGAGATATTTTTAACTATTTTAAAAGGGTAGACATATCGAGGTTGACGGATAGCGAGTGGGAATTAGTTTTGAGAGGATTCAGGTATAGCACCATTCTACGAGAGATACACGTTGATACACCTTTGATTGCGAGTTCAGATGCGGAAGTGGAGAGCTTCTGTTTACAGCTGGGGGGAATTCTGAATTCATCTAGCGTAACAGTTTTGACGCTAAGGGATTGCAGATTGAGTGCCAGATGTTGGTTGAATCTCGCATCAGGACTGCGAGGACATTCCGATTCTAAACTCAAGTCTTTCAAATTATTTTTAGCGTGGGAGGACTCGAGTGCGGTGAAGCATGTGGCTGACATGATCAATAGTGCTCCTCTATTAGAAACTTTGAGTTTAGGCGACTGTTATAAACACATGGATGATGAGGCCCTTGGAATCCTGTCCCAGGCTTTGATCCAGAGCTCCGCTTTGAAAGAATTAAACTTAGAGATGGTGGACTGGGGAACGGCCTTGTTGCTGAAAGCATTGGCCGGGCACGATCGCAACCGATCCATTGAACGTCTTCGGCTGTGGGGTGTGGACTCGGATAGACTCGGAGACTGTTTAAGGGAACTTCTCATTTCCAACCCATCATTGAAGGAAGTGGAGTTGCGGTTCTTGCGGATGTATCCTGGGCAATGGCACCAGCTCGGTGAAGTCATACGTGACAACGCTGTAGCGACAACTATACTTGTTAGGTTTGACTTCAAAGATGATGACTGGAAGTCATTAGAAGCTCTTGCGCGTTCTGCTAGCTCGGATGTCAAGGACCCCACAGTGGAGCTTGAACTCCAAACTTCGAGTGAAGATGAAGTGATGTTATCATTAACCCTATTAGGTAGGGTACTGCGCCGGGAAATCAAATCTCTGAGTATATTGGATGCTTGTAAAAAACAAATTATCACTCTCGGTATCCTCCCGATGAAAACTGGAGAAACATCATTCGTGAAGAGACTGGAATTATGTGTTCGAAGCAAAGATCTTTTGAAGAAGGGAGTATGGAAGGATCTGCTTTGCAGCATGCAAGAGAACCACCTCACTCACTTGGATTTGTCTGACTCCGAACTCGACGAGGAGGCGTTCAAGGATCTGATGGGGCTCCTGCGAGTTAACTTGGCTCTCCTGGAAATAGACGTCTCACGAACCTCATGGGCAGAGGACGGAAAGGCGGCGCAGATTGAAGAGGCGTTACAGCAGAACCAGAAGCAACC